ATGGAAAGGTTTGGAAGTTCCCCAAAAAGCTAAAGATAAAATTACCATATGACTCAGCAATCCTGCTCCTAGGTATATACCGCAAAGTAACTGAAAACAGGAACTCAAACAGAAACTTGTACACCAATGTTCATTGAAGCATTATTCACAAGAGCAAAAAGGTGGAAATAACCCAAGTGTCCATCAACAGATGAATGGATAAACAAAAGGTGGGAGATCCATATAATGGAATATCAGTCAAAAAAGTGATACATGCTACAACATGGATGAATCTTGAAAACATTTACACTAAGAAGTCAGACACAAAAGGACAAATATTTCAATATCCAAAATAGGTGAACAGACTGAAAATAGATCAGAGGTTACCAGGGGCTAAAAATAAAGGAGAAATTGGGAAGTACTGATTAGTGGTTACAGAGTTTGTTTGGGATGATGAAAAATTTTTGGAAATACAGAGTGGTGATGGTTGCACAACATGGTGAATGTAATTCATGCCCATGAATTGTGCTCTTAATCATTAAAATGGCAAATTTTTTAATATATAATTTAAAAAATAATATATCAAAAACCACTGAATTGCACACTTTAAATGGGTTATATGGTATGTGAGTTGTCACTCAGACTTTTAAAAAGAATCCAATGGACTAGGGGTTGCAATGATAATTGGAAATCACTTACATCAAACAGTCCAATTTGAGAGTAAAGCAAATTACTGTGCTCATCCAGGCAATGTTTAGTTGTGAAGGCAACTTGTAGTGATGTACACTGTTTCATTACATCAGACTTCTTTAATTCTGATATAATAATTTACAATAGAGTCTACGATAAAACCTAGCCCAATAACAACTATTTAAAATTAGAGGAAGAGGGATAACAAAATGGCACATATACTCCAGAGTCCACATACAACCTTTTAAAGTACAGTTGACGCTTGAACACCATGGGTTTGAACTATGGGGGCCAACTTACATGCAGATTTGTTTTTATAAATACAGCACAGTACTGTAAATGTATTTTCCCTAAGGATTTTAACATTTCTTTAGCTTACGTTATTGTAAAAATACAATATACAAATCACATAAAATATGTGTTGACTATATTATCAATAAAGCTTCTTCTGGTCAACAGTAGGTTATTAAGTTTGGGGGAGTCAAAAGCGTGTGTGTTGTGTTTTGTTGTTACTCGGAAGTGGTTAGCACCCTTGATCTCTGTGACGTTAAAGGGTCAACTGTACTTTAGATGAGTGATTCCCAAACACCAGTGTTAAGACAATGCCTGTTATGGAAACTTACACAAGCAAGGACTATGACAAGCCTGTTGATCTGAAGTATTAACTACAAATCACTCTTATTTATTAAAACAAGGTTTTAAGTAGGCAACAGTGGCAATATTGGGGTCTTCACAGTTGGTAGGAAGCCGGGGATGGCTTATTCTCACTTCTGCTCTGGGTCCTTACCCTTATATTTACTCTATTTCCTGTGTCTTTAAAAATTTCCACAAGTTTTTACTAAACTAGGCTAACTCTCAATATCACTCACATTTGATTTACATTCCAAAATTATAAACAAAGCTTAAAAATAATGGATACTCTGGATTATTAACACCCCCTTCCATTAGCATGGAAAACAGAAAACTGCCAGTATGGAAATTACAAATGTGTATGAAGGGTGAAGGACAGGTCAGATATTTTGTTGTCAGGTTAAAGAATGGATGGGATTTCTAATCATATGGATTAATGGGACCATAGATAACCCGAAGGGAAGTCTGGGTTTGGGTTATTTTTAGCTTAATTTGGGAGTTTTTGCTGTAAAAACAAAATACACTGTATTTAGAAGATTTGAGTAGCCTTTTTTTTTTTTTAAAGATTTATTTATTTATTTGAGAGAGTGAGAATGAGAGAGAGTACATGAGAGGGGGTTGGGTCAGAGGGAGAAACAGGCTCCTCACTGAGCAGGGAGCCCGATGTGGGACTCGATCCCGGGACTCCGGGATCATGACCTGAGCCGAAGGCAGTCGCTTAACCAACTGAGCCACCCAGGCGCCCTTGAGTAGCCTTCTGATAAAAGCTCAATGTTACCACTTAATTCAATCTGAGCATGTTTTTCCATAAAATTATCAAATTGACTGATGCATAATCTAAAGATGGAAGAAAACAGATTAAAAAAAAATCAGTCATTTGGGAAAAGACTAATTATTAATACTAATAACTAAACCAGACAGTAACCAAGACCGAGAAATAAAAACAAGAGGCATGGAGAAGTGGTTCCATGACACTGTGAAGTATTCTATATAGAGGCACTTACTGGACTGCGGCTTTAGTTTCTCAACAGTGGAATAAAACAAAACATTACAACATGGAACTTTTCCCCAAAGGAATGTGAGGAAAAGTTTTTAAAAGAAGCCCGGACGAATGACATGAGAAGAGAAAATTTTGTAATGGCTATGAGCATCGTATGTTTTTAATTCACCAATTAGAAAGATGACCTGAAAAGAGAGGAGTATGTTGGATCACAAGAGAAAATTTGTCAGCTTCATGATTAAGTACGTTATCCCGAACGGGCCCATTTTCTCTGTAGAGAAAAGAAACCCTGCTCCGTTGTCACATACGCCAAACTTTATCATGGCCAATATGTAGTCTGTCAATGCCACCAGGAAAAATGCAGCAACACTGCATGGACCAAGCAAGCAGCAAGATGTTGTAGTCAGGACTAAGATGCTAAAGGCTTACTTCTAGTTGTAGTTTTAAATCTATGCTTGCTGACTGAGCCATCCATCCTTTCAAGGTCTCTATTCCCAGAACAACAGGATGGTTTCTAAGGTACAAAGACCTCTAATACCTTATATATAAAAGTAAAAAATGTCAAGAAAGAAATCAACCATGAGCTCAATAAATGCCCTGCATTCACCAGTCTCTGAGCAGAAGCAAGTTCAGGTTCAATAATTCACAAATATTAAGAGTTACCCTTAGATCCATAGAACAGAATTTAAACAGTTTCGCTTGAAGTTCTTCCCAAGTTATTAATACATGAGCAACAAAAGAACATTAACGAATAAGGGAGAAGATGCTGCTAAAAGGAAGGCTCACTGCCAATGAAAAAGAAGGAAGAGCTGAACCTAAATCCAGGTATCAGGACACGAAAGCACAATGATCTGGGGCCAGTTGGCCTAGGGATGGACTTAAACACCTCTACTGCTATGGTACAATAGGGCTCAAAACCTGATTATTGGTAATGATAGAACCCTTGGACACCAAGAAAAATTGAAACTGTTTTCTATACCCCTGCTTACTGAGGCAAGGAAACACGGTTTATGACTATGACCATTTAAGCAGTTTAAAAACAAACCTCTGTAAAACAAAAACACAAATCCTAGCCCATAAGGGAAAGCTGCCTTTGTCAGATGACAGAAGTCACTATAAAAGCCTAGTGTTTCTCAGACAGTCAAGATAGGCTGAAGAGAGTCCACTCTGTAAACAAGCTTCAACTGTTGTTACTTCCTTTAGAAGAACAATGAAGAGAGCCTGGTGAAAACTTCACCTAACTTTGAAGGACCCAGAATAGTTCTACAGTTGGAAACATGCTACCTGGTAAGAATGAAAGAAAACCACTATCTAAATAAAAGCCTAGTTTTATTGATAAGCTTAAAATTCGGTTATACTGAGAAAATTCTGGCTCTGTGTAATGATAAAATCAAATTTATATCAAAATATTCAATCATATACTGTGCTTCAGTGTGTACCACTGGTACACGATAAATACTTGGTTTATATCTTGTTCTGTGGAAGACAAACAGGGTAAGGAAGCAGTCTTTCTGCCTGGAAGGTTATTTACCCAAATCCAGGCAAATCCTGAGCTTTTCGGAGCTCCTGGATTCTAAAGACATTCATGAAAAACCAACAATAAGCAGCAAGCCATTTCTTCGGAGAGTATACATTTTTTTCAAAGCCTAAAAACCTTTCAAGATTGTGTCACAATGCCATTATCTTGAGTAAACGGACCCCTCTGGAGGCCCCTTCCCTTGGGCCTCCAAGTCTCCAGGACACCAGGTCTAGGTCTCTCCTATAGCCCTCTCTCAGCATGGTCTGCCTTAGCATCCAGGGGCTCAAAAGGAGCGGCTGTGAGGGGCACCTGTAGATTCCACAGCAACACAAGGGCCTACACCATGACACTCAGATTGCACCAGTCAAGTGGCCACTTGCCTCTTAAAAAGCATCCTAAACTCTTTTGGTCGCTTTCATGAACCCTTATGCATGGCCACTTAGGCCAACTGCCTGGAGCAGGTTGGAGCCAGACTTTTCACTATGACTCTTCACCTCAGAATCAGCCCTCAGCCTCTGGAACTCCTATTCTGCTTCCTTTCACCTTCTCTCAGCTTGGTTCCCCTTAAATTGTTTTGGTTTTCAGCACTCTAAAGGGGAAAAATATTTTCTAAAATGAAGCTGGCAAAAGCTTCAAAACATATGGCAGACAAGATGCCTACAAACCAAATACAGGTATCTCCACTCAATTATAGGTGACAATCATTTATTATAGCACAATGCAGATGTCTTTGGGGAAAACAATGAGAATAAAGACCATAACCTTAAGAAAAAAAAGAAAAAAACCACACACAAACCCACATACCTAAAATGGAAGCCTCATGAGAGGAGGAAAGCCAAGTTTCCATCTACTCTTGAGTTAGACTTAATCTTTGAGAGTATAACGATGGCCAAACTAAGCTGCACATTACCATGGGGAGTGACCAGGTTAAATTAGAATAAGACACTGCCAGGTATTTTGAGCATTACAGTAAAAGCTGGAGAAGAGCAAAGCATTATTCGGTAGTTTGCACATCTGACCACAATTCAAGGAAAAATCTCTTTAGATGGCTGATTAAATGGATGAATCCCTCCTATTAGAATGAGCAGTCATATTCCCTCTAGTGATTTCCTGTCCAAAAAGGTTCTACTGCCTCCCACCACCTCACAAGGAAACACCAATGATTACATCATTACTACTTACATTCAAAGCATTCTTTGCAGCTTCTGCTTCTGAGCGACTGTCAAAACTGACAAAACCTACGGGCTGAGGAAAGAAAAAAATATGAAGAAAAAACAAATCAGGAGATATCTATTTTTCTGGGTCAAAGGTGATGTCAAACCGAAGAGCTAAGATAAAGAAATGACCACAGGCAATGGGTAGAAATAAGAAAGCCAGTTCAAAAGAATCATGACGCAGTGGCTTAGCCAAATTTCTAACATGAATCAAAAGGGATTGTGAAGGTGGTTCTTCAAGGGCACAGCTGGGGATTTAGAGAATCATAAAAAAAAAAAAATCTAGAAGGGGTTGGAAGGTGAGCAGCAGTGAACAAGAGAATAGAGGAAAACTTGGGTCGAAAGGCTCTACTTTCCTAAATCAAATTCACTGTACCTCAGTTTCTTCATCTTTTAAAATGGAAAGAGAACCGAATCACCTTTTGGTACACTGTAAGTGCAAGGAATACAATGACACAATGATAAAAGCCCTGTACTCTCACTGCATGATCAAAATCATAAAATGAACATTTCCATCTCAAATCCCAAGGGATACCTTTAAAAAGTCCTGTGTTTAACTAGGTGTAAACCAAATTGTTCCAGTTCAAGAGAGAGGGGTGATAATCCCTTTGGACTCAATCTTTTAGTCCAGAAAGATGCTTGCAACATAGTTTATTCCTGATGAATCAAAGAATACCTTACTGAGAGATGAGAAGCGACTGAGAGGTGAGCATGCTGGGTATTCAGCACTCGGGGGGTGGGGGGGACATATAGCCAAAAGTTTCAAGGAACTTATAGAAACTATCAGGGTCATCGATTACCATTCTCCATTCTGCACCTTCTGTGCTCCACCCTAGACTTGGGACTCTGCCGGTGGTTATTAGAAGTTTCCAACACAGCATGATTCTTCACCAACAGATACTTACACTGAGTGTGAAAGTTTGCCTGTTTAACCTTATTTTTTTTAAAAAAGGAAGAACTGGGAATAAAAGTGGGTTTGGAGGATTTCTTTTGAATATACAGACCAATCCCAATATAATCATGCTGGATGCATTATGTTTGCCATTTGCCTTCCTCAGGGATAGTCTCAGACATCCTAGCTGGAGACAATAGAATTGTGAATCATTTTCCTGTGCTAATTCCTAACTAATCTCACACTTAATTTTAAATCAACAACAAAAATTAAATTCTAATGAGAATTATAAAGGAGAATGCTGAGACCCAGTAACATTCTTGAAGAAAGTCAATTCAAATTTATTGTTGAAGTCATCATTTTATATGCAAGTTTGAAATTCTTACCTGCTTAGATGTGAGCTTTATAAGAGAACCCTCGTAGCCCTGAAAATTAAGAACCAAATTTAGACGAAAAAAAATTACTAGGAAAAAAAAAAACTGTAATAGTATCTTGCTCAAGTAAAAATGAGTCCGTTATGACTACTGACTAACTCTTTTTACAAATGCCTCGAGGTAACTGAGAAAGCAGATTTTATAGACGCATGCACCTATGTGCCGATGCTTCCATCCTTAAGGCCTAAAACAAATCATACCTTGAAATTTATGCATATATATCTAGGTTTGTTTTCCTTTTTTTCATGATATCGTACAATGGTAGGAAAACGGGCTCCTGTCAACAGATCTTTCTCATTTTACAGAACTAGGAGAATGAAAGGAGTAAATTTAATAAGATAGGAAGATAAGTATGTGAGGACTTGGTCATGTGTCTGCTATAAGATAACATTAAAACATTCAGAATGTCCTACACAGAACTTATTACTCGAAATTTCAAAACTGCCAGGAAGTTACACAGGTAGTGATACTAAATTCTTTTGAGTTATTCTGCTTACTTATTGCAGCAGCTAGTTTTCATGTTGGTACTCTGATTGGGACATACAAAAATTCCCTGTTGGGTTCTTACTCTGGCCCATCCTCAAGGAGGATAGAAACCCCTCCCTTTTCACTCCCTCCCTTCACCCCTCCTGGCTCCTGAGGATAAGGATAACAAAGTGTGTTTATTTCTGAAAATAATCAATGGCTGATGGCTTGCACTGATGGATGACACAAGGGGAAAAACACCACTTGACATGATTGACCACCGCACAGATCAGTGCCAAGACAGATTTGCAGACTAGGGTCAGCCTCCAGGGACTTTAATTAAAAGAGGGTTGTTAGGAATGTACCAGGGTCCTGACTCTTGCGTTGGGGTTTCTGGGCAGGATGTTGGGATTGATTCATCCTCCTATCTTCCCAGCAGAGAACTATGTTACCAATTAGCTACTGTAAACATTTTACCTCAAAGACCTTGAGCTCTTCTGGTCAGAGAGGTCATGATTCACAGCCCTGCCTCTTCCTTTTTCAAGGTGCTTTCTCTCTGAAAAACCTGGAGGTTTAAACACCCTGAAGGCCTCAGAGGCAAAGGACAAATGGATATTTCACTCATGTACAACACCACTGGTAGCAATATATTGTGATCTCTAGCCATGAACAGAAAAGTAGTATCACAGACTACTTCAGAACACAGATGGCGGAGTCAAGATTGCTTGGGTTTGAATCCTAGCCCTGCCATTTATTAAGTGTGAACTTGAGCAAAATTTATTCAGTTGCTCTAAGTTTCATTTTCCTCATTTGAAAAACAGAGGCCAACCCACTTTAAAGGGTTATGATAAAAAATTAAATGGAATAATTCATAGGAGGGGCCTGCTGGCTAAATCTCCAGTATTTTGTCCATTAGTAAGATCATTAAAAAGTCCACAGCCTATGAAAGGGACAAATAGTAAAAATGGCAACCCTGCAGAAGATACTCAGGAAATTCTATGAAGCTGATACTCCCCCCACCCCCAACATTTTTCTTTCCCACTTCCTCTCAGCTGACCTCATGTCTAACCCTTTTGTTTCCGTCTGTATAGTCATCATTCTTACAGTAAGGGAACGGCTATTAGAACAGAGGTAGGTCTACCATTACATGGTGACTTACTGGCACATAAGCTAGATTCTTAACTTTGCTGGCTTTTAACTGGCTGCCCCTTCCACCTTCTTCCTTCCTTTCCTACCCAGCTGTTTTTAGCTGTCACATCTTACTCTCCCCCTCTCCTAGAAAGGCTAGATCCTGCCCCTCAACCTGTCTTGCCTCTGCGGCTAGGGTCCTGCTTTGACAGGATGGATCTTTAATCATTGATCAAGATGGTCTGCCACCTAATCGTAAGTGTGCCCCTAGCCAGGCACTGCCGCTACCATGTTCTCAGGGACCAGCCACAAGCCCTGAATTTACCACGACTTCCAGGTGTTCTCCCTGAGGGCCTAGGCCTCCAGCCCACAATCCACCCAGCACCAGCTTTCTCTTATTCCCCACAGGTTAGCCTTCAAGGTTTCTCCTTGGCAGCATGGTTATTTCAGCTTTTGTCCAATTTTCTGGTAAGTTTTCAATTCTAGCAACATTAAATATCTCAAGTGATTTTTATCTCAATAGTCCCAATGGACAGGCGACTGAATTAGGTACTACACAATGTACCAGCATAACAAGTAATTCCTTAGAACTTCGTCTTACTTTGTTTGAAATTTAGGACATTTTTTCCACAAAAAAAGTAATGGTGGTTAGGTTCTTAGTCTAGTTCATGAAAGTGTAATTAACTTACGTATCCAAAAAAAATAGTATTAACAATATTTCAACTAATAAACCTTGTAGGTATAAGCCTTGACTTCTGTTATTTCACTGGAAATATAAATAACAGTAATTGATAGTATTTTTGGTGAGCTGTACTCAGAAGAATACTCCCAACTGGCAAACGATAAACAGGGAGGACACTAAAACTGTTCTCAACAGAGCCAGATGCACGTCCCCATTATTAGGAAGAAAAGAGACTTATCTAGATTAGCTATTGGGGAGGACAAAAGGCAACTTCAGTCTTTCCTGAGACCACACACTGGAACTGAGTTGTAAATCTCCTTTACTAACTATCCTTTTTTAAAAAAGGTTACTTGATAAGATGCTTTCTCAAACATATTTCTTCCTGCAAAAAGCCCCCATGAAACTTATTTATACACACACTTTTTGTCTCCTTTTGTAATTTCTGAAAGAGAAAAGGTACCTTAAATGGTCTGAAAAGCAGATAGAGCTCCCGAGGTTTGATATCCAGAGGGAGACCGCTGACAAATAGGGTCCGGACCTGGAAAATAAATATGAGAAGTGATCACAAGACTGTAAAATCTAGAGAACAGCTCTCACTTGTAATCTCAAAAATACGTGTCTTCATACATTTCACAAACCCTACCTAATTCATGTTCTTTCCGTAACCCAATGAACACTCTATATTAAGACACCATTAGACCAACTCTTGGATATTTCTATGGGATTACTCAGAATGAATTACCTCTAGCTGATTTTAAATTTACAAACTGATTAGTCATTAACTGGTTCTGACACTATGAAGGGAAGAGGTCTACATAGTTAAAATATCAGCTTAAGAAGAAAAAAAAAGTCACGAGAACAGTAAATCTACAGCTTCTCTGCTCTAAATCAAATGAACACAGCATGGTTCAAAATTAAATCAGAACAATTTTTGTTTTTTCCTGCTTGTTTTGTCCTTGCCTCCCTCATCGGCATTAATAATTAGTCATTTTTAAAAGTATCTTATTTTTAAGTGATCTCTACACCCAATGCGGGGCTTAAACTTACAACCCTGAGATCAAGGGTCACATCCTCTGAACCAGCCAGACACCCTGATAATTTTACATGTAAAAAATAATCCAAATACATCTAAATAGTAGCCAAAATGTAGAACTCTTCATCTGCTCAGTTCCAAAACAGCAGGGAAGACCTCACTGACCTATAACCCGAAAGGCCTAAGATACAAATTATGTGATTAGTGTCTACTAAAATAGAGAACACAGATGACACACTTCCATTTGGGAGGATCAGAGAAAACATGTTAGCATTTGACTGGGAACTTAAAGGATAGGTAAAATTTCACCACATGAATATAAAAGGTGAGGGGAACTGGAAAAGACTCAGCAAAGCATTAACCAAGGCAGTGAAGGAGAGGATAGCCCAGTATATCCTGGGAGAAGGAGAAGCCAAAACCGAACAAGTAGCTGCGGATCCAACTACAGGGGACATCACAAGTCACTGGCTCAGGAATCTGGTCTTCATTCAACAGGCAAGGAGAAATCACTGAATTATCACCACCACGTTTTCTTTCTACTTATTTTAGTTTTGTGTGCCTTTAGTCAAGTTTCCTAACCTTCCCCCTCCAAACTTTGAAATATAATGGACATTTAACAGTAAGTTTAAGATGTACAGTGTCAGGATTCATTATGCTTATATATTACAAAATGATTACCACCAAAGTGTTAGCTACTGCCTCCACTGTGTCACATAATTAACCATTTCTTTTCTGTGGTGAGAACATTTAAGATCAACTCTCAGTGACTTTTGAGTATATATAATACAGTACTGTTACCTATAACCACAATGCTGTGCATTAGATCCCCGTAACTTACTCAACTTCTAACTGGAAATTTGTAATCTTTGACCAACATCTCATTTCCTCCATCTTGATCCCCTGGTAACCACCATTCTACTCTGTTTCTAGGAGTTTGACTTCACCCCCACGTTTTCTAGTCCTCTTCTCTACTCCGGCTGACACAACATGATTGAGTTCCTCATTAGAAATCATGTTGCTACCTGAAGAAAAATTCAATGCTCAACTGTTAACAGTCTATAAATTTGGATTTTTCCTCAGTGTGAAGAGGGAGGTCTTCTAGAAAGAACCCTAACGCTTTCCATTGATTCTGGTTGTGAAGAACACAAATCAGCAAGCAAGGCCCTTGTACTGATGCAGCATACAGTAAAAGGTCGTGCCATCTGCAGACAGGTGTAGATAGGTTTATTGTGCTATAATTGATATACAGTTGACCCTTGAACACAGGTTTGAACTATGTGGGTCCATTTACAGGCAGATTTTCCCAATAAATACAGTATAGTACTGTAAATGTGTTTTCTCTTCCTTATGATTGTCTTAATAACTTTTGCTCTAGCTTATTTTATTGTAAGACTACTGTGTGTAATATATATAAAATATACAAAACCTGTGCTAATCAAGTGTTTGTTACCGGTAAGGCTTCCAGTCAACAGTAGGCTATTAGGGGTTAAGCATTAAGGGAGTCAAAAGTTTTATGTGGATTTCTGACTGTGCAGGAGATCAGTGCCTTCTAGCCCCCACATGGATCTAGGGTCAACTGTATAATGAACTGTACTTTTTGTTTACAATTTAGTTAAGTTTTGACAGACGTATAACCTGTGAAACCACCACAACAATCAAGATAATAAACATATCTACCACCTCCAAAAGTTTCCTGCCACCGTGGTTCTACCGTCCGCATTCCCAGGCAATCACTGATCTGCCATCTGCCACTATTAATTAATTAGTATATATGTTCTAAAGCTTTATACAAATGGAACCATAAAGTATTTATTCTTTTTGTCTGGCTCTTTTACTATTTTGAGATTCATCATCCACTGTTGCATGTATTAATAGGCTACTCCTTTTTATTGATTAGTATTCAGTTCATTTATCCATTCACTTGATGGGACAACATTTGGGTTATTTCTAGTTTTTGGCTTTTACAAATTAAATGGCTAGGAGCATTCATTTATCAATTTTTACAAGTCTTTGTATGGATATATGTTTTCTATCTTCTTGGTTCAATACCTAGGAGTGGAAGGGCTGAATGATATGGTAGGTATATGCTTAACTTTTGAAAAAACTGCCCTTCAATTCCTTGTTTTAGGGCCTAGAACATGATTTAAATGCTGTGTACTTAAAAACAAAAGTGTATTCTGTGGCTCTTGGATAGTATGTTTTACAAACTTCCACTAGGTCAAGTTTCTTGTTCAATGTATCTTTTGCCTTCTCCCATCTCCCTCAACTTTGCCAGTGATAAAGACTCTTTTTCCAGGAACTTTGTTTTATCAAAGCTAAAGCCAAATTATGGACAAGTGCCAAAGACATAGCTGATGAGGGAATCCTGCCATCCAGTGTGCCCTCCCTGCCATCCACAACTGTCTTCCCACAGTCCAAAAAAGTAAACACCATCTGTCCTTGGCCACTCTAGCCAGGACAACCTGAGTAGAGAGGGAATCCCAGCTCCCATTCATTCAGATTTTGCTGAGTACCCAATATGTTTGACACTATGCCAGGTGCTGACTGGATTACAGAGATTTCCAAGGAAATAATGCAATAAGCTGATCCTATGGTTTAAGCCCTGGAGTCCCATTTGCCCATCAGGGAAGCTTAGCTATGTAACAGGTATCAATTAAAATTCAGGGAGTTAACTGAGAAAACAAACTACCATTTATAGTATTGTTCTAAAGAAAAAGAACTCCACAAACTTGAAAGGCAAACAATTTACCAACAAAGTACAACAGAACTCTGGGGGTTATCAACAAAATATTACTTGATATAAATTAAGGTTCATATACATCAATAAAATGTATTATGCAACCAATAAAAATTATGTTCAAGAAAAAAATTACATTCAAGGAAAGTTTTTATTCTGTAAAACAAACACCAACACACATATGTATTAAGAGAGGGATAACATGCCTTTGCAGGACAGAGACACCAAAATAGTTACATTTATAGGATTTACCAAGTGAAGTGATTTTAATATTTGCTTACTTGTATTTTTTCTATAATACACATATTAGATACTTTTATTTTGTTAGATTGAGAATTGCCTATTTTTTATAGTTTTCTTTTGGAAACTATATAAACAATGTCAATATTTACAGCAATAAAAACTTTAAAGCTTATGGAGGAACCTTTTAATGTAAGTATTTCAGAATTAGAAGTGATTCTTATTTTAGTATCTCAAACTATTACACATGAAAAAAATGGAACTCCCATTAGCCCTAAGTTTGCTACTCACCCACAGATGACAAGAGGCTCAAAGCAACTCTGTTTTGTTCATCAATAGGAGGCGACTATAAAATGTCTGGCATTGTATTTACATGGACATGAGTTACACTTTCCATAATCTCATGAATCTCACGGTCTCAAAAACCTGCCAGGATCTCTCATCTCTCACTGAAGAGATATTCTCTCCTCTGACAGAACAAACTGACTAGGAGAAATAATTTTTATTTATTTTTAAAGATTTTACTTGACAGAGAAAGACACAGCGAGAGAGGGAACACAAGCAGGGGGACTGGGAGAGGGAGAAGCAGGCTTCCCGCGGAGCAGGGAGCCCGAAGCAGTGCTCGATCCCAGGATCATGACCTGAGCCGAAGGCAGATGCTTAATGACTGAGCCACCCAGATGCCCTGGAGAAATAATTTTTAAATATTTATTTATGAATACAACTAAAGGTCACTTAAAACCAAGTGCTTGGAATCTATGAACTTTGAATTAAGTTAAAAAAAAATGGATAATGTATGGGGAAAAAAACTCTTCCTGAATATCTAATTCATGCTTTTCTATAGTGACTGGGACCTAGATCATGGGGATATTTGAAAACAGCTTAGCTTCCCCACTCTTCTCACCCGCACACTTTTTTATCTTAGTATTAAATCGAGAAACACTTGCAGGCTTTGTCTTTGCTATGTTTGCGGAAATCACAAAGGTAAAACAGGATTCTTCCTCACAGGGAGGTTTCAGTCAGTGAAGGAAACAGTCCGTAAATGACCTTCTGTGTTAACAGAAAGCTTAGTTCATTCACAAAGTAACTGACAGTGAGAGAAAAGTCTGAGACAGGTAAATAAATGATCAAATACTCAAGAAAAAAAAATGTCGCCCCAAACAACAAATGAATGACACCAAATGAACTTTGTGACAGGTCAATCATTATCCACGGCAGCCCTTCATTTACCAGCAGTGGCTACGGACACAGATGTGCCTGGCACTATGCCTTTAGCATCACAGATGTTTACTTTATCAGACACATGGGGAAACACACTTCTTAGTCAAGGACACAACACGCCTCATAGAAGATCAAGACATGAAGCTGCTGACAGCTCTATCCCAAAGGGACTCTAATGGATTCTGTGGATGTACCTCCAACTCCATTTTCACAACAGAACTGAAAGAATAAATGCTGCGGGAAATCTCCTGTGCTGGACAGTAAGAGCAAGGAGAGTTCTTTGCTCAGCCATTTATCTGGCATTCCC